AAGCAAACACATTTATGAGGGAGATGGAGAAGAGAGTTCAAAAAGGAGGAGAGGCAGGAGAGCTCGAAATTGAAGAAAAAAAAAAGAAAATCAATAAAAAAAAAGAGAGAGAGAAATCCAAAAAAAACAAAAGAAAAGAAAAGAGAGATAGAAATTCTACGTTAATTGAAGCCGCAAATCCACCACCTCACCAATTCTTTGGGGTAATTTCTTTTAGTTTCCCCTTTAATTTGTTTTTTTTATAGAATATATATGTATGGTTGAAATTTTAGGGTTCTTTTTTTTGAATTGAAATTGAAGTTGGAAAACACGAATTAAACTCAATTTAATTCCATTTGAGTTTCAATTTGGGGTTTAAACCCCAAATTGAAGTCGATTTGATTTCAATTAAAACTTAGGGTTCTTGAAGTTTTTTTGAACAAAATTGATTTTGGCGTTTCAAGAAATTGGTTCCTAATAAGTGGGATTTGGTTCGATTTAAATATAAATTAAGCCAATTAAGGCCAATTAAAAGAAAATTTTGAAGAATTGAAAAACTTAAGGTTTGGTCGAATTGGGGAAATGTTTGAAAATTGATTTAGGGCTTTTGATCTCACTTGAAGAGAATAGAGGGGTTAATAGAGTGAGAGGGAAGGAAAGATTGAGAGAGAAGAGGGAAGATTCTTATTTTGTTCATCACGGAGATTCGAGCGAGAGGAAGAAGAGAGGACGAGACGGATCGGGAGAAGAGAAAGGGGAAATAAAAAAAGAAAGAAAAGAGAAGAAAGAGGGAAAGGGAAAGAAAAAGAAAGAGGAGAGAAAGAGAGGGGGATGGACCATGACTGCTTCGTCCATGGAGAGGAGCAATCGACTAGGAGGGAAGAAGAAGAAGAAAAAGAAAAAGAAAAAGAAAAAGAAAGGGTGAAACGAAAGAGAGAGGAGAAAAAAAGAAATAAGCTTTTTTATCCAAGTTTTTTCCGACAAGGGAGCTAAATCTGTTTGTGGGTTGGGTTTAACCCAACCCACACGGAAATGGGCTGGATCTGTCCAGCCCGTTTCTATTTTTTTTTTTTTGGGTGTCGATCCGACTGCCTCTTTCCCTTACAAAAAAAAAAAAAAAAAAAAGGGCTGGACAATCCCGACCCTTCCCCTCTTCAATGTTTTTTTTTAACAAAACAAGCAAAAGAAAAGAAAGAAAAAAATATTTATTTTATTTTATTTATTATGCATGTTGTGTAATTAATTTAGTTAATGTACTTTTAATTTTAAGTTTGTTTATGCATATTTAGTTAATTTATATTAATTTAGAATTTTTTATTGTAATATTTTTTAATTGTTTTAATTTAACCTTGAATTTATTTTATACATATTTGTTATTGATTGAGACTTTAGTATTTAAATTTTCTTTACATAATTAATGTAGCTTAATGTATTTGTTTAGTAATTAGGCTTAGTACATAATGGGTGGACGACCGTCAAGTCTCCTAATTCTTTAAGGATCGATGACGATTCTCTACCAAGTAAAAAAAATAAAAAAATAAAAAAAATCATAAAACTCATAACAAAGTCTTCTATCCGATAGGGACTCGTTGTTAGTAAGAAAAAATCATTTTAATAAACAAGTGTTCTCCGACATACCGGTTGTGTCGAGACTCAAAAAGTGGATCCGATGTTTGAACCGACGTGTCTCCCGATGGAAAAGGTTCGACGATCGTTTCAATATGATGTCATGCTCAAAAATAAAAAACTTAATTTGGCTTGAAATAAGGGACTTGAAAAATTAGAGTTTTAAATTGAAAAATAATTTGGCAAAAATAAAACACTTTAGGAGATGAATTTGGGACTAGACTAGACATGGTACCTTTCTCGGGAAAGGGCGTTTTTTGATGATTAAATATCTTTCCATAAGCGTAACCAACTCTTTATCCTAGAATATCCGATCCAGGTGCTCATTTTAGGTTCCTAGTTCCTTTAATACTAGATGACGACTCCTAACTCGTAAATAATTTTGTAAATAAAAATATATCTTAAACTCAAGAGACATTAGAGATTTTGGAGAGTCCCGTCTAACGTCGGGTAGCGACATGGTAAATTGTAGATGAATAGAGTTTAAGATGCTTTCTAGTGTAAACGAGTGTTAAGAGTTTTGAGAGAGGGTTTAAGAAGTTTTGCTAAAAATTAGAAAATTAAGATTCTTTACATGATAATGTGATGGTGGTATTTATAATGAATTCAAAAAGCTTTTTTAACCATTAAAATCATATTTCATCATCCATGTTTTAGATGCTATGCACTTGTTTGTGAATGTGAAAGTTTTGAGAAATTGTTTTAAGAGGTTTTGCTAAAGATTAAAAAATTAAAATCATTCACATAATAACATGATATTGGTATTTATAGTGATTTGAAAATGATTTTTTGATTATTAATATGATCATGTCACGTCATTTTTGTTTGGATTGTCAAATTTGAATTAAAGAAAATCGGATTTTTTATTGAGTTTAATTGTTTTAACTTGATAGTAAAAGATAAAAATAAATAACAATTAAGCTTCTTTTTTTATCAACGGAAACTATTTGGTTTATCAAATCAATCTCTCTAATACATCTTAAAAACAAGACATGAATATTGACTTTGTCATATTACTTGTGTCCATCCCGATGCGATGCAAGACCTAATTATGCTTGGACGAGATCCATCCTCGATTCAAATAAACAATTTATTTATTATGTAATTTGAATCCATATATATATATATATATATATATATATATAACAAAATTAACTAAACTTTTAATTAATTTTTATGGTCAAATTGAAATCATAGGAGTGGTCCTTGTTTAATCCTTGTCCGTTATGATTTTATTAGTTCTTGCTATTCAAGTGATCTTGAGGCCATGATTGAAGATCATAAACCATTAATTAAAGAAAGGAAACGAAACGTAACGTTAAGTAAGATACTGCATAAATGACAGTCAATAATGTCATTAGTTAGCCCAATTGAAAGTGAGCTTAGTCTTTACCTTTGAAAGTAATCTATCTTCTCATTATTGCAAGCAATTCTCTTTTTTTTTTCTGACCTAGTTTTGATAACCATTGCTCAACGAAATATCATGTAGGTCGGTCAAGATTTATGACAAAAATAAGGGTAAAATGAACGGCCGGATAGCTGACTAAAGAACTAAGTGCACTTCAACATTTCTTGGCCTTTCTTTTTGCAGGTAGTTTGAATTTCTTTTTTATGCAATGAATAAGCTACCGAAATGCTGACTCCAAAGACCGGTGGCACAATCCCCACGCCACGATCATTATTTTGCAAACCTGTAGCTTTAAATGTCATCACAAATTGTCAAATTTGAAGGGACTTTTTCTCTATTGGATGTAATGATCATTGTCTTCGAGATATATATATATGTGTATATTTGTCTGGACTGTAGAATACACAATTACGGGAAAGTCCTCTTTCAGCTTGGACTGATTTACGCTCTAGCCGTTGACAAATAAGCTCGATGATAAAGATCTTTACTCACTTATCGAGAGCAAGAGAGAAAAGATGGGACGGTACCTGGAAGAGAGTCATGTAAGAAGATTATTCTTCTATAATAAAAATTTCAAATTTCAGTCCCTGCTTCCCTTCTTTGAACCCAGAGAGACCCTATCGAATATGAAGCTTAAGATCAATCGACCAATCGGGAGATTTCCATGAGTTTTATGACTTCTTAATTTTCAAATAAATCTACGGAATTATTACATAATTATAATTGAGAGTATACTCAAATCTTGTTTCAAATTTAATTACCTTTGTTCATCTAAATTACTTTTATTAAAAATAATAGTAAAAAATATATAAATTTATTGATGAGGAATATTAGATTTTAGATATATAAATTTTCCAAATAATGATAATATATAACGATGATAATTCTTGAATGCCGACGCACCAAACGTACAGCTTAAATTTATGAATCAATAATATTGTGCTTCATGTAGTTAACAATTGGTTTCATCTTCTGTTCTGTCCATTAGCATTTAAAGCCACACACACATACATATATATATATAGTTTCCACCATTATTATCATTAATTGTTGACAACATAATTCTAGTTTCATGATTTAGTAAGGATGCATCACTATCCTTAATTTGATTCACAAGCGAGAATGATTCTCCTTTTTTTCTTCTTTGTTTTCGCATTGATGTCAAGAATGAGTACAGATGGGGATAGGTACTTTAATTAGTTGAATAGCCCAACACACACATATTAAAATACATATGCCTTTGTCCATGGTCATATATTGCACCAAGATATAAACTTAATTAAATCAAATCATGATTCATTCATATAGTCATGCTTGTTTAATTTGGTCATTATACCTACACAAAATAGGCAAATTAAGCCCACTTCTTAGCTCTAATCTTTAAAAAAAAAAAAAAAAACCATATAAGCAACAAGGTCAACAGGGAGAGCTGGCGGCTTAATTTCTCAAATGTTCCGATTTTGATGGTCTGCTTTTTATATAATTTCTTTAATTCCTTTATTATACAATTCCCTATTTATACGTAATTTCTTAGATTAAGCTAGCACTGAACATATGTAATAGTAATCCACATATATAGTCCATTATTTTACAATAACCAATGTACGTAGTAAGTAATATGATTAATTAGTACAGCTACAAGCAATAGGCCATCGGCATCTCATTAATACATATACCATTATGGTTGTAAACTTAATGAGATGTGCGGTTGGCACACCATAGAACCGACAGGATCTACCTAGACGTCATCTACAACTTGGTTTAATTGCATTCTACTTTGTCTTCATAAAATACTGTCAAATTTTTATTTTTATTTTTAGGTATTAAATGAGCTAGTACAAGTGAGTATGGGCTTTCATCAGTGTGAAACGTAATTTTTATGGAAAAATCATTGTTTATTGAATGTACAATATCAATCTTGCATCGACTCTCAAAAGGTAGATATATATATAAATACAGACACAAAATTCCAAAAGCAACAATATCATTAGGTATAATCGGAGATGATATCGATGTTTTCAATTATGCCAATAGCGGGAGTCTCGTGATCATCATTCACTTCTTTTCTCTCTGTACCCACCTAACCAAAAAAAAAGAAAAAAGAAAAAAAGCCACAAATCTTCAATGCTCAATTAAGGGGCCATGAATATTATCAACCATGCCTGTTCCATCACCTTACTCTATCACAAATATCATGTTCCTTCTACGTAAAGTCACAATTACATTACCCTCAAAACCAGGGCATCAAATCAATCCTCATATGTATTTAAGCCAATCACCATTTTGCCCTTACCACATGTCTTCAGCTTATGTACGGCCTGTCGCTTATTTTTCACACATCAAACTTGTAGACCCAATATTGTCCCAAAAAATTGTTGATTTGGACCGGCATCACCTGCCGTGGCACGTGCCAGCTCCAATTCTCTGTTTGTTTGCATATACTCAGACCTGGGGCACCAGGAACGATGTCGCTACAGAAACACTGGCAGGATCCCTGCAGCTTAATACTCTAAGCAATCTACAAGACCCCTTGCTAATAGAATTCTGGTTAACCGGAGCTTTCTTTCCGTCGGCATCAACATGTGGGAACATGGTCATCGAAGAATTCCGGCGAACTTGTCGGCTTTTTATATCGCTAAGATCCATCTCTGTAGGAGGCTTGACCACCCCGAACATCAGCAGATACCATCGGGGCTTCGAGGCCGTCTTTTTAACTTCACCTTTTGCATGAATACTCTTTAATGATGAACTTCTTTCAATATCGAATTCCGGTGAAAATTTTTTAGAGCTAGAAAACCTTTCAAGTTTGCGATAATCCAAAGACCGACTGTTTCTCATGAGTGAAATATTATTCTTGGTACTATTTGAACGACTTACAGAACTTTGGAACTCAGATAGTGACTCGCAGCGGCGACGAAAAGAAATGCGTTGTTTGTCTTCTTTAGATTGATTTTGGGGAGTGAAGTAGGGTTCTTTGAAGGGAACGAGCTTACCACGACAAATGATGTCTTCAGCTGAACGCATCTCCGAGTTTAGGTCGCTAAAGAACTCGAAGAATTCAGCAGGCTCGGATGATGATCTTGCACTGCTGTGGGTGGCTATGTTAGGGCTTTCTTTGTTCCTGCCTTCGAGTGGGAAGTCGCAAAGAGAGAGTGCTTCTTCTTCTTCTTCTTCTTCTTCTTGTTGGTCTCGGTCCTGTACTTGTTCTGGATCGAGGTGGAGATTGGTGTGTTCTCCCATATTTTAGGAGCGAGAGGGAGAGAGATCAAATGTGGTTTTTGTTTTGGCTTTTTAGGAGGGAGAGAGAGGACGAGACAAATATAGAGAAAGACATACGGAAAGAAGAAAACAAAGAAAGAAGATATATAATTGATTCTTACATAGGGAAATACGGTTAGGACGAGAGAAGGGAGAAAGAGAGCGGGGAGACTTGGAAAATAGTGACTAGCGAAGAGCGGGGTATTCTTTATTCCTTTTCCGGCACTAATTTCCACCAGTTTTGGATATTCACTAGGTGCTGGTGGACTAAATTATAAATTAGTTTCTTTAGTTTTATAAACTCCAAAAATTATTTAATTAATTAATTATAATTAATTTAATATTATTTTATCCTAAAAAATGTTTTTCCTTATTTTTTTCATATGTTTTACTTATTTTTTATTTATTTAAAAAATATAAATTAAAAAATAAAATAAATTAAGTTATAAATAGATTTAAAAATATAAAAATTAATTAAATAATTATTAAAACTAGAGGGAACATTCGATTAGTTTGAAAAAACAGAGAGACTAACTTATAATTTACTCGAAACTGGTGTTTAAAGGTCCGTTTTTAGCCGGTTACGTAATTGTTTGTCCACCAAGGGTCACATTTAATTGCCAATGCCAGCCTAACACGTATATTATCCAATATGATTAACTTTATGAGTCATTAGCTATATTTGATTGAGGCCATTACCAGGTCATCAACAGCCCAACATGTGCCTTGTAATGAGCCCAAATGGCACACTATTATTCTTGTTAGAGACAGTGCTAATGTTAATTTACCGAATTCCAAGGTTATCAGGGGATGTTTATAAAAATCAGAGCGGGAGTTGAGGTTGCTATAATCTTAAACAAACAAACTACTAATTTAAATTTATCTACCTCGTAAATCTTAAAATTTCATTATTTCATGTTTTTCACGCAATTTTAAAATAAAAACATATCTTATTTTATATTTAAATCTTTAAATCAATATAAAAAATCGATGATAAATGAAGAATGATTTCTCTCTGTTATCTCTTTCAGTTTTCTTTAGTTTCATTAATTTTTCCTATTAAGAAACAGAGACAAAATACTAGATTCTTTTTCTTATGATCTCAACTTAATTTTTTCATCATGACTTGTATATATATTGTTATTAATTACATATATTATAATTGATTAAACCCCTGTAGCATAATTAATACATATATTTTAATTAATTAGATATACTTTACATGGTCACAATTAATTTTATGAGAACACAACATTTTTTGTGGCAAAATTTTGATTTTTTTTTCTATTTTGGTGTTCGAATTTCAATTTCTAATTATTTGCTATCTAATTTTTAATTTTTAATTTTTCTATTTTGAAGTCTAAAATCATTTGAGACTCAATTTTACTAATATGTCTAACAAGAGTCTGTCTCATGACATTTTTTAAGTACCATATGATGGTTGTAATTAACACGGTGGAAAAAAAATATGACATGCTTTTTTTTTAATTAGCTTTATTTGGTAGAAAAAAATTAAAAACAATAAGGGTGGGATTTTTCCTACCTTTGTTGGCTACCCTTTTAAAGATAGTGAAACGGGTAGCCATTGAAGACCTTTTGAAGCTCCACATCAAACATAAAATTTTGCCAAAACTAAAAAAATGAAATTTAACTAGATTGTATAACTACTCGAAGTTAATAAAAATTAACTTGTTATTGAATTGTTGTTTTGTTAATGAATCTTTTATTTCAAATTGTCATTGGTTATTTACGTAATCGCTTGTGTTAATAAAAATTAATATCTTGAATTATAAACATGTTGTTCCAAACTAGACAAGAACAATCATCTAAAACAACACTTATATTGGTCATTCATATATCAAGATATACAGATCATGTATAATGTGCAAAGTTGCAATAATGTTCAATAACTATATCCACTACAATAAAACATAGGATTAATGATTGTTATTTAACGATGGTTTTCTAAACCATCGCTAAAGACTAAGATTTTGCATCATTTTTACTAGACTCTAGCGAATTTTGTTACATTTTGAATTTTTAACGATGATTTTTAAAATCGTTTCTAAAAACACCTAAATTTGTGACGGTTTTGTAAAACCCTCACAAAAATGATCGGTTTAGCAACGGTCTAGCCCGGACCGTTGCTAAAAAGCTACTTATTTAGTGACGATCTAATCGGATTGCTATCTATATTGACTTTATTTGGATTTTTAGCAACGGTTTACCAAAACCATCGCTAAAAAAATAATTTGGGTGAAATTTGTAACGGTTCTTATCAAACCCTTACTAAATTCCCTAAAGACCTCTAACGGATACTTTTGAAAAATTTAGCTATGGTTTACTTAAATCGTCACATAACAAACAAAATTTTATTGATTTTGGCGACAGTTTCTCAAAACCATCACTAAAGAATCATTTTTTACGAAATTAGCGACGGTTTTAGTACACCGTCACTAAAGTCCCCTAAAAAAGCTAACATATACTTTTAGAATATTTAGTGATGAGCATGTTTAAACCATTGTAAAAAGAAAAAATTAGCATCAGCTTTAGAAAATCATCGCTAAGTTTCCCCAAATACTCGTGTGTTTTCAGCAACAGTTTAGTAAAAAACCATCGCTATAATCCCTAAAAAATAAAGAAATTAGCGATGATTTTTCCGATACCATTGCTAATTTCACCAATTTATTTTGACTTTAAGCGACGATCTAATAAGACCATTGCTAAAAAACATATCTAGAGGGAAAAATATTTTTTTAAAAAAAAAAGGGTTTAGTGATGGTTTGGAAAGCGTCGTGAAACGAAAAATCCCTAAATTGATGACAAACACTCTTTTTCCCCATTTTTTCTTCTTCTCTTCTCTTGTCTTCTTCTTTGCTAGTGTCCCTACCCCCTCCAAATCCTCTATTGACACCATTAAGCCCTCCAAACTCCCATTCTCAATTCTTTTCTTCTTCTTCCCCTCCATCCCTTCCCTTTACCTCCTCAATTTTCTTCGTATTTCTCTCTCTGCTTTCCTTTTCCTCCTCCATTCCCTCCTCTTTTCAACGAGTTTGCAGCAGCCTCCTCCTTTCTCTCCTCCTCTATTTATGAGCAATGGCCTCCTCCATTCTCTCCTCCCACCTCAATCATTGTAAGTTTAATACTTTTATTGATTTTTTTTCCTTTGATTTTAATATTTAAATATATTTTTGTTTAATTAATTTTTTTTGTTAATTGTTAGTTGGTTTAATTTATTTATTTTTAGTGTTAATTTGTTAGTTTTTTATTAAATTAATTATTTGTTAAAAAATTTAATTAGTCGTAAAAATTTTAATTTTAATTTTTAAAAACAATTTAATTAGATTTTATTTTAATTAATTATTTTTTAATAAAGACATTTAGTTATTAAATTAAGTTAATTAGTTGTTAATTAAAGTATTTAAGTGTTTAAAAAATCTAATTAGGTGTTAGGTTAATTAATTAGTTGTTAAATTAAGTTATTTAGCTATTAAATTAAGTGAATTACTTTTTAATTAAATTATTAAATTATTTAAAAAATTTTAATTAAATTTTAATTTAGTTAATTGGTTGTTAATTTAAGTTATTTAGTTTTTAAATTAAGTTATTTAGTGTTAAATTAGGTTAATTATTTGTTAATTAAATCATTAAATTGTTTAAAAAACTTAATTAGGAATTAGTTTAATTAGTTAGTTGTTAATTAAGTTAATAAAAATTTTAAAATATTCAATAAGGTGTTAAGTTTAACTAATTAGTTGTTACTTAGGTTTTTTAGTTGTTAAAATAAGTTAATTAGTTTTAATTAAATATTTAAAAAAATTTAATTAGATGTTAATTTAATTAATTAGTTTTTAATTATGGTATTTAGTTGTTAAATTAATTTATTTATTTTTTAATTAATTATTAATTTTTTAAAAAATTTAATTAGGTGTTAGTTTAATTAACTAGATGTTAATTAAGTTGTTAAAAAATTTAATTAGGTCAAATTTTAATTAATTAGTTGTCAATTAAGTTTTTTAGTTGTTAAAAAATTTAATTAGTTGTTAATTAAATTAATAAAATTTATAAAATATTTAATGAGGTGTTAATTTTAATTAATTAGTTGTTACTTAAGTTTTTTAGTTATTAAAATAAGTTAATTAGTTGTTAATTAAATTAATTACATATTTAAAAAATTAATTAGATGTTAATTTAATTAATTAGTTGTTAATTAAGTTATTTAGTTGTTAAATTAAGTTATTTGGTTGTTAAATTAAATTGTTAAATTTTTTTTAAAAAAATTAATTAGGTGTTAGTTTAATCAATTAGTTGTTAAAAAAATTTACTTAGTTGTTAATTAAATTAATTAAAATTTTAAAATATTTAATAAGATGTTAAGTTTATTTAATTATTTTTTAATTAAGTTATTTAGTTGTTAAAATATGTTAATTAGTCATTAATTAAATTAAATAATTGTTTCAAAATTTTAATTACGTGTTACTTTAACTAAATTGGTTTTAATTAATGTGTTTATGTGTTAAAATTAGTTAATTTGTTGTTAAAAAAACTTATTTAGGTGTTAAATTTATTTTTTTAGATGTAATTTTATAGTTCATACTTGTATAAATTCATTTGTTATATTATTTTCCATCGAGATTGTTATTGAAGTATTTATGTACTTTTTCTTGAAATGTGAAAAAATTTGAAATGTTGGTCACCGATATTAGGGTGACACCCTAGGGATATGACATTGCTGGGGAAATAATTGAGAAGGTATAAAGTCAATGTCAATGCTCGCGATGGAGATGTGAGGAATAGATTAATTAATTTACTATTAATTATATTTTCTATTATTTGGAAAACGTCTAGTTTATAGGAGAAACTCGTCAAAATTTTGTTAGAATTTTAATTAGTTATAAAAAACATTTATCTTATATCCAATGCATAATTTGTAAATAATAATAACTAGTTATTTTATTTTTTCTCGAATTTATAAACAAAAC